CTACCTGGAGTGATCTATGAGCACTGAGGCAGGAGTAAGCCCAGAGTACAGTCAGGTATGTCCCAGCCTCCCAATTTTTTAAAAAGCAATAAAAATATGTCAAAATGTATACATAAGAATATTTGTAGGAGGTGGAGTGATAGCACAGAGGGTAGGGCGTTTGCCTTGCACACAACTAGCCTGGTTTGATTCCCAGCATCCCATATGGTCCCCTGAGTTTCACCAGGAGTATTTTCTGAAGTGCAAATACTCAGGAGTGACCCACTGTAGCACCATCCTCCTGTTGTTCATTGATTTGCTCGAGCGGGCCCAGTAATGTCTCCATCGTGAGACTTGTTACTGTGTTTCGCATATAGAATATGTCACAGGTAGCTTGCCAGGCTTTGCCTTGTGGGCAAGATATTCTCTGTAGCTTACCGGGCTCTATGAGAGAGGTGGAGGAATCGAACTCAGGACAACTGCATGGGCCGCATGCAAACGCCCTACCCGCTGTACTATCGCTCCAGCCTAGGAGTGACCCAAAAAAGCAAATATATGTGTGTGTGTGTGTGTGTGTGTGTGTGTGTGTGTGTGTGTGTATGTGTATTTGCTACTGAGAGTATCCACCCATATGGCAGAGCCTGGCAAGCTACCCCGACGTATTTGATATGCCAAAAACAGTAACAACAAGTCTCACAATGGAGATGTTACTGGTGCCTGCTTGAATAAATCGATGAACAACAGGAGTACAGTGCTATATATATATATATATATATATATATATATATATATATATTTGTATAAGATTGTGCTTAGAAGCATTATTTTTAAATTTCAAACTATAAATAATTTTATATCCAATAGTCAAATGGATTAATGATTTATGGTATGTTCATCAAAGGAAAATAAGTTACTGCTGTGGACAATATGACTGAATCTCACAGATATATTGAATAAAATAAGATGCAAGGGAAGACAGAAAATGAAATCAAAATCACTTGCAATGTGTTTTTCATTGTGTAAAGATTGACATCATGCAAAAGTAATCTTTTCTAAAATTTAAAATATTATTTATTTTTGGAGAGGACTAGAGGAACCTTCTAGAGAAAAGTTCTGAGCTCTTTCTGGAGCCAAATAGTTTTCACACAACTGTGCTGACTTTACTAGTTCATCGAGCTTTAACATTTAAAATTTTGCTGTTTAAATGACTATATGTTGTTTTCAAGAGTTTTAAGAATCAAGTACATGCACAGATTTCACTCTTACCTGTTACAATAAAGAATGGACTTGGTAGCAATGTTGTGAGAAAACAGGAATTGCCTTTTTTTTTTTGAAAAATTTGAGTTATAAAACTATATAGTAGGTGAAATGCCAAGAGGTGTTTATTCACCCAAAAATGCTCAAGGATAGAATAAAACACAAAAAATATATATACATATGCATATTTTATGTATGTATAAATATAGATACACATCTATAATGATTATATATCCTATATAGAGATATGCATAAATAGATATATTTATATATGTATATAAAGATACCTTATAAATGTGTGCAAGAATAGAAAGTAATTGCAGCATGAAGAAAACATGACAGAATTTGAAGAAAATATCTTCTTTCTGGAAATATTTATTAGAGTGCTTTGAATTGCAAGTAGCTGATTATCCAAGTTTAGTGGTGATCATTTAGCATCAGTCATTATCATGAATCCTAAAATAACAGTCTGACATTACTTTAGAGGGTGTATACTCCATATTAAGTGTGAGGTTTGGAACACTCCACAGACTTAGAAAAGGTATGAAAGGCTGGATATTGTTTAGGGCAATTAATAAGACTTAATAAGACTTTGAATAAGCACCAAGTAATGTGAGGGCTGGAGAAAGAGTACAACAGGTAGGGCATTTGCCTTGCACAAATTGACCTGGGTTTCTTCTCTGGGACTACATATGGTCCCAGGAGCACTGCCAGGAGTGATCCCTGAACATATAGAGCTAGGAGTCAGCCTGGAGCACTGCCCGGTACAGCCCCAAAACAAAAAAGAAAAAAGAAAGGAAGGAAGGAGAGAAGGAAGGAAGGAAGGCAGACAGGCAGTCCAGAAACAACCAAGGCTTTGTAGTGACAACCTTTGCTATAAACTGAAGTCTGAAGTGTTACTTTTACACCAATTCTGTGCAAACAAGAAAGTTGATCCAATCTACATGCAGATTTTTCAGTAACAAAAATGTGAACAGTATCATCTTTGGGTATTCATGAATGTTACTTTGATTTTTATTCTTTCAAATATATATTAAATCAGGTGTGCCAAGATACTTTGAAATACACATGTGTTACACAACAAATCCTTTTTATAAAAATATGACTTATAATTCTAACGTGGAAGACAATGGGAACACAAAGTCAAGGGTTATTTAATGATATTTTCTGGACAAAGTATTTGGAGTTAAAATATGAAAACTAAGTCTTAATTTAGGAATTTAAGTGCCCAGTTTGTACAGTGTTTGAAAATGTTTATAATAAAAACACTCAAAGGTCAATATGTTTTATTTCCCTATTATTTTAATTTCCTTTGTCCCAAATTCTCTTTGGAAATGCTTACTTTAATTTTTAAAAATTTCATAATAGCACAGCGGTAGGGCGTTTGCCTTGCACGCAGCCAACATGGCCGACCCGAGTTCGATTCCTCCGCCCCTCTCAGAGAGCCCGGCAAGCTACCGAGAGTATCTCGCCCGCAAGGCAGAGCCTGGCAAGCTCCCCGTGACATATTCGATATGCCAAACACAGTAACAACAAAGTCTCCAATGGAGACGTTACTGGGCCCGCTCGAGCAAATCGATGAACAACGGGAGGACCTTTACCTTTACCTTTTTATATGGGCTGGAGCTATAGCACAGCAGGTAGGGCATTTGCCTTGCACTCGACTGACCTGGCTGACCTGGGTTCGAGTCCTCCGTCCCTCTCGGAGAGCCAGAGGCCAGCAAGCTACCAAGAGTATCTCTCCCACATGACAAAGCCTGGCAAGCTACCCGTGATATATTCGATATGCCAAACACAGTAACAAGTGTCACAATGGAGACATTACTGGGCCTGCTCGACTAAATTGATGAACAACAGGAGAACAGTGACAGTGATTGTGAATTGATGAACAACAGGAGAACAGTGACAGTGATTGTGACTTTTAAATATATTGAAATGCCACAAATGATATACCACATTTGAATTTCAGAATAAAAACTCATTTTCAGTGGATATCCAAAGTGAGTGTTCTTTTATCATAGACCTTTGGGGTCTTCCATTAGTCCTCCAAACCCTGTGACTAAGAGTTATTTTAAAATAATTGAAAAATACATATAAGCCAAGTAGTCTTTCTATGCCTAGGCTCTGTAACATTTTTTAAATGTCACCTATGAAAGTGGGCCCTGCACCCTTCTTACATCTCTGTGCCCTTCAGTTGCAGTGAAATTTCCTTTCATGTATTACAGTGAATTTTCCTTTCATGTTCATCAGTGACTGTAGCGCTGTCCTCCGGTTGTTCATGGATTTGCTTGAGCACACACCAGTAACGTCTCACAACAGGTTGTGAGACTGTCAGGAAGAGCTTGCGGGGCTTTGCGGTGTGGGGGAGATACTCTCTGTAGCTTGCCAGGCTCTCTGAGGGGGGGAGGGGGGAATCGAACCCCTGTTGGCCGCGTGCAAGGCAAATACCTTACCCGCTGTGCTATAGCTCCAGACCCATCAGTTACTTAGATTTATATTTTGGGAAGTGTAGTTGAATGGTGACAGCGCTGCGGGATGATTTCTGAGTTACTAAGACTGTTTTACTTTTCGTGGGGGTGGGGGCTGGGAATGCAACAATAAATAGAATAAACGCTGCTGCTTCTACCTGTATAGGCAACATTAAGTTCCACTATGTCAATATTTGTGAATTTAAAATTAGAAAACTTCCTGCTCCAAACCATAGATAGTCAGTAGTGAAACGGACTCCCATTTTTATATCATTAAAAAAAAATTTCCATCAACAGCTCAGATTAATCAATTGGGAGGGATAGCCTTTATATCAAATCCGTGAATTTCTACATCATTCAGTACGAGAAGAAAAACGTGGTGCCTTGGGAAGCGGAGTTACATATTATATTGGAGAAGCGGCGCAGTCCCACCAACAATTCCTAGTGACAGATCACCCCATTATTCTAAGCAGCAGCTTCCCTGTCTGGTCATCATCAAAGTTTATGGGAGCTCAAAACAGCCACACTGGATCCTGGAAACAGAAATGCCTGGAGAAAAAAAAAATCAAAGGAAAAGAAGCTCGTGCCTCTCAATCTGTCCCCCAATTCCCTTCGGTCACCCCCAGGGTCGGTGGCGGTAAACCCACCGCAGGGTCTGCGCAGGGTACCCTGGTTCAGCTCGTTTCCACAAAGGTGGCTTAAGTCTTCTTAGCATCTTAGGGAGGAGCCCGGAGGCCCCTCTCGGGGAGCGGGGAGGAGCCGAGGGGGCCCCCTGGAATACACCTCCCAGGTCTGGAAATCCCAGGGCCCGCCCACCAAGGCCTGAGTCCAGGCTGCTCGGCGGGGCGCGGGAGGGGCGGGGCGGCTGCTCCTCGTTCCCGCCTCGGGCCCCCGGCCAGAGTGGGGTGGAAGCGGGGGGTGGGCGAGGAGGGGCGCTCCGGTCACGTGTGCGCTCCGGGGACCTCAATAAAAGACCGGGATCGCCCGGGAACGGGTGGAAGCGCCCTGCGCCCGGGCCCAGCGCACCGAGGTTCCCCTGAGCCGGACCTCGCGGTGGCCTCCAGCTGCTGCCACCGAGCCGCTCGCCGGTCCCCGCCCCTTGCTCCGGCAGATAACGCCCAGGGACGCTGGACCCGCACCCGGGCAAGCTACCCCTGGCTCCCTCTCCGCTCGCACTTTGGAGCACTGGCCAGATTCCTCTATCCGCCCGCGAAGGAGCTGCGCAGGCTCGCGGCCCCCTGCAGTGGGCGACCCGGTGGCCTAAGGACCCGCCGTGCCCCGGCCCTTTCGGGAACCCCGAGACCCGTGGTGGAGGTGGGCGGGCGGCTCTGGGAGACCGATCTCCTGGCGGGCTCGACTCAGGCTGGGAACTGCACACTGGAGAGGTAAGGAACTGCACACTGGAGACGCACTCGCGCGTCTCTCCAGTGCGCCGCGGGGGCTCGTCAGCCTCCACCCGCTGCAAAACTGCACTTTCCAACCTCTTCAGTCCTATTCGGTGTAAGAACAACTTCAGGGCTGGCCGCCGGGTGGACGCGCAGCTCGGCGGCTAGCGCCGAGTTGTAGGAGCTGGTGGGTTTCACTGGCGCCCGCCGGGTCGCGCGCTTCCCGCTCCAGGCAACTTGGTGCGCCTGCGGGGTTGGCCCGGGGAATCTCGGTGGCTGAGATGCTTTCTCGGGTGGCGCCTTAGGAACAGACTTTCCAGGAACGAATGACTGTTGTGCCTGCTCTTCTGGATGTGGCTCAGAGCAAACTTTCCCCAGTGACTGCCTGTATTCATTTTACGTTCGTTTCCTGGGCCCTCTAGATGTCCCCACAAGTATCTGCATACACAGGAGCAATAAATTATTCAATTTATTGTTGAATAAAGCATTCACCACAATGCCGTGGCTTAGCAGAATGTCGTGGCTCTTCTAAATGCAAGTCCACGATGGTCCATTGAGATCAAATCGCTCGAGCCAGAGAGAGAAACGTGAACCTCTAGACTAAGAAAATGAAATTCCAAAAGTAACAGACGCACACACAAACACACACACACACACACACACACACACACACACACACTCACGTTCTGAGTCTGTAATACAAAGTTTTGCAGGCTATCAGTAATAGATGGTTATTGAGAGATGACCATATAGATATGTATAGAAATGGTTTTCACACTTTTATTCTTTCGAGCTACATTGACAATTTTTTTCTAATGCACATATCTTAAAAAAGATGATTGCCTACCCTATGGGAACGATGCGTTATGAACAAGTCTCGTGAAAGAAAAAATGTGTTGGACGTCAATTATTGTTTACATGTGTGTGCATTTTGTTAGCGTCATGTAGATGAATCAAACCGGACCACCCCTCTGTGATTTTTTTTTCATGATTATTATCTCTCCGAATCTTCACCTTAATCACACTCCATGTCATTTTAGCCAAGAGGAGAGGACGAGCCCGTCTTGGAGATTTTCCCGAGGAAACCGTGAGATCATTCACTATGAAGTGTACCGCGAGGGAGTGGCTCAGCGTAACCACAGTGCTATTCATGGCTAGAGCAGTTTCTGCCATGGTGGTTCCTAATGCCACTTTTTTGGAGAAACTTTTGGAAAAGTACATGGACGAAGATGGTGAGTGGTGGACGGCCAAGCAGAGAGGGAAAAGGGCCATCTCAGACAATGACATGCAGAGTATCTTGGACCTTCATAATAAATTGCGAAGTCAGGTGTACCCAACAGCTTCTAATATGGAGTATATGGTAAGGAAAATTTTCAACTGGTATGTACAAAAAATTTTTTTAATTGATGATTTCAGTCTTCATGATTAGACTTTCACTCATGGTACTGTTTCATTTTCTAAATCATTTGTCCTCTTCGAAAACATTTATGAAATTAAAAAAAAAGATTTTCATTGACTATATTCCTCGCTTTTTTTTGTCATTAGTGCTCGTCTTAAAGAGCTTTCTGAATTTCAAAGGATTAAACACCCATGGATGCAATATTTCTGATAGATGGAATGATTCTAAGTGCTTTAATTTCTAATCTCTGAAAATACTCACAAAGAAAATGCCTAGACCATTTATGTGTGTTCTGGCATTTAAGGGACTTAGAAGAACAATTACTTAGGAATTTGGAACCAGTGTAAACTTCTTAAGAATAGTGGGCTTGGCCAATAATTTGAAGAAGTCTCTGGGTTGCGTATCTATTAATATGTATCTTTTTAGTTGGCCTTTAGTTCTTACAAACATACAAATAACATATTGTAAAGGGTACTTTCCAGTGGTTGTCTTGATATCCCCTTCTGAATTTATTTTTCACCTTTGAAATGTGAAAATGTAACCTTATACTTCTACTCTTAAATATATTAGTACGTTAGGAAATGAAACGACTTTTTAAAGACTGTCAGCACTTGTTATTAATATGCCACTTCATACCTAATTTATTCAGAAAATAAATAATCCAGAAAAAATTATTCAGAAAATTATTCTGAATAAATTTAGAAAAAATATTCTGAATAATTATTCTGAAAATTTATTCAGAACACATTATTCAGAAAAAAAGATTTGAATACCTTAAAATTAAGAAATTTTAAAAATCTTTCATACTACTTGCATAAATTAGGAATGTATTAACAAAAACTGCTAATTGTCATTGGTTTGCAAAATGTTTTGTTTATTGACATTGGGCATAACAGTTCTCTTTTGGATACATTATGAGATACAGTTTATTTTAATGCTTTCAAGGCATTTTTTTCTATATTCATTAGTTTTGATGAGTTGTCCAATTAGATAACTTTCATGAAACACTGATCAATTCATGTAACCTATTAAAAGCTATGGTACATATAAATGCATATATGTATACATGTATCAATATATACATGTCAATACACTGATCAATTCATGTAACCTATTAAAAGCTATGGTACATATATACATATATGTATATGTATGTATATATATGATATATTATATACTGATTATATACTGATCAATTCATGTAACCTATGAAAAGATATGGTACATATATACGTATATGATATATATGATATATATCATATATGTATATATATCCATTGGAGACTTTGTTGTTACTGTGTTTGGCATATCGAATACTCTCGGTAGCTTGCCGGGCTCTCCGAGTATATATATTAATATATATTAATTATATATTATACATATATATTGATTTGTTGGCTACAGCTAGTGATGCTCAGGGGTTACTTCTGGCTCTTCATTCAGGGTTTACTCCTGGCAGTACTCTGGGGACTAAACGCTGGGGATCAAACCCAGGTGGCCATGTGCAAGGCAAGTGCTGTAGCACTGTACTATCTCTCCAGCCCCAAAGTACTTAGATTATTTTAACTGAAAGAGTATTTTACCCTTAGAGAACTCACGAGAACATTCAGGAAAACTCAGGAATTAAGAAGTGAGTCTGATATTCTCAGGGATTAGATTCTGGAGCTGATATTCCCCTGGTGGTGTAATTTAGTGTGATTTACTGAGTGCTTTTCCCTCATTTCTTGTCTGTGTACTCATACCACAGAATTCTTCTGAGGATTGAATGGGGTAACTTGTGTAAAGATTAGCACATTGTCAGGCATATTGCTAGTAACCTTTCTGAGACTTGTAATTAATTTTATGTCTCATATACTTCAAATAAGTTATAGATAAAGTTAAAGAGAGATAGCCAATTATGAAACTTTTCCAAGTATGCCATTGTATGCTTATTTCTTGTGAATAGGTACTCAGTGCCTTTTTATTTAAAATAAAGAAGTATTTGGAAGTTCAAAAGCACACACACACACACACACACACAATCTGAGAATATTTCTGTTTGTTTTAAGTAGTATAGAAAGAATGAAAGAACAGTTTTGTGATGATTTTCACATATGATTTCCAAAGAAAATAGCTACCTATTGTATGATGTCTGGTTTTAAGATGTCATTTTTAAAAAAAAGTTTCACTGATCTCATTATAGTCTTGAAATGTAGTTTTAGAAACCAGTCAGGGTTTATGTTGTGTTGCTCTTAGATACTATTAGCACTGGAGCTGCCTGGGATCCAACTGGGCTGCCCCACAACTGTAGTACTGGAAAATAGTTTTTAGAATACGCATTTAAGGGGAAGTTAAAAAAACAGTCTTTTATTTGACATATAATTGACTTACATATTACATAGTAAAAATGTTGTTTAACCTCGGGAAAATAAAAATTTCATATTTAAGTAGCCATTTAAATGGCTCTTTATTTAAATATTTATTTCCTCAACTCTTTTCTGTTTCTTTTTGATTTTTCAACCACATCTGGCTCTGTACTCAGGGATCACTCTTACATTGTCCAGTGAAACTATTTATGGTGCCAAGATCAAACCCCCTTTCCTGCCTCTAAGGCAAGTACCTTATCCGTTGCACTATTTTTCTCTGTGGCTCCTCAGCTGTTTTTGATTATAATGTAGCTATTATTTAAGTAGTTCTTTAAAGTGTATTTATTCAGAAAAAAACAAAATTTAAAACTGGCTAGAATTACTACTTTGTTTTTCTAGATTCTGTCTCAGAAAGCTTTTGAATCCATTTCTTCCATTCCCATCTTTGCTCATTATTTTGTCCCTAGGTTGGTAGACCCTATTCCAGTCCAGTTCTACTCTAGCTCACCTTCCTCACAATTACTAAATACACCTTGACCTCAAATAAATCTTGGGGCTGGAGAAATAATCCAGCAGGTAAGGCACTTGCCTCATGTATGGCTGTGCAATGGTCTTCTGAGCACTACCGGAAGTGATCCCTGTGCACAGCCAGGGAAGCCTGGAACACTGCAGGGTCTGGGTTCTTCACTTCTGACCCTCCACCTTGCAAAAAAATAAATAAATAAATCTGTGGTGTTTACTTAGCTGCACAAAACTATTAACTCCTTAACTCCTGGCTGCTCACAAGTTAGAGTCCACGCTGATCTGCTTTTTAAAAAAATTCAGATCTTCCACAGTCAGACCCATAGGCTTCAGCTCCATCGTATGTATTTAAATCTGTGCTACTACATTTAATTATTCACTATTCTTTCAAGGCGATTCTGCTTTTTTGTGCCTCTGTGTCTCTATTCATTTGTTCAGTTTCCTGTGTGTCCATATTCCAACCTATTCTCTAAAGCTAAACACTGAAGTTGCCTTTTCTGCCATCACCTTCTTCTCTAAGCCACTCATTCTCCTGCTCCATTCCTTCTGTGCGCTTAATACATTTCATTTAAGCCTACTTAGAGTATTAAAAGTTGGTGAAAATGAAACATTTGCTTTCTAAGACTTTGAATTCCTAGAAGGCTAAGTTTCTTACCTAGAAGAGTAAGACTCAGAAGCTGGAGAGATAGTACAGAGGGTAGGTGGGGCGCTTGCCTTGCATGTACCTGACCTGAATTTGATCCCTAGAGGGCTGCCGAGAGTGATATCTAAGTGTATCCTGAGAAGTACTGGTTTGCCCAAATAATAAGTAGGAATCATCAGTAACCTCTATGACCCTGCAACCTGCACACAGGTTTTCATTAAGTATTTATAGCTTGGTTATTGTTTAATATTGATTGCTATTAAAAACTCAAATATAAGCTGAAAGAAGGGACATATAGAAGAATAAGTACAGTTACATGTGATGGAAGCATAGATCACATGTAAGAAAGAGGAATTATTACGCTTTGGAATATAAGATTTTACCAACCCCAGGGTACTGATGTGGCACAGTGAAAATACTGATATTGAAGGTATAAATAACTAACAATATAGAAGTAATTCAGTATTTTCTTGTTTTCATAAGACTAATTATGGGATACGAAAATTTTCCCTGAGTATAGAATAGTAAAAATTTTCACATCTTTCTGAAACTTACATAATAGACCGATTTAGTGAATAACTCTTGGTTACTTCAGTTATAGAACTCCGTAAGCAGAGGTTCCCAGCTCATTTGGACTAAGTAATAATACTTCGATACCTCTCTTAAAAAAAATAAAAATAAATCCAGCCCCTTTCTGGAAATGTATCTCTTTGCGTAAACAAAGAGAAAGCACCCCCTAGGTTCCCCTTCTCCCACCATCACTCCAGCGCCCCCTAGAGGGTGGCATCACCTGCTTTGGAAACTAACGCAATTGAAAGCATCAGATTGATGCAAAGCCCAAAGAGTTAACTTGAGGTAGAAAGTGTACCCAAATCTAGAATGTGCTTTAGCAACCAGGAAACTTGATGTGTAAAGGACATATGAGCCAATTATACAAGACTTTCCCCACTACGGTCATTATTTCCATACCTTTGAGAACTGTTGACAGACATTCATCTGGGAGGTTGATGGCTGTGTCTGCTTGCTTTCACCTCACATGTGGGTGAGTCTCTGGGCAGAACTTTGGCACAACGCTTTTCCAAATGTAGAGCAAAATACATTGAATTCCTTTTGCTAGGCAGCCAAAGGCTCTGAGCCAGACACCACAGTGATACTTTTGGTTCGTGTTAATGAAAACAATGGCATAATTCAGTTTGTCATTTACATTCTAGACTATGTTTAACATTGGAGATCAAGTTTGGGTTTGGCTTTGGTTTTCATTTTTTTCTTTTCCTTTCTACTTCAGTATAGCAGATAATTCTACAAACTGAGATAAGGGACAATTGAGTGCTAATTTGAGTTTTGCACTATTAGTGTTCTTAGCCCAAATCCGGCTTGAAAACAAAATGGCACCTTTAGGTTGTGAGTTGCTCTGAGAACTCTGATAATTAATATTTTTTCTATTTTATTTA